GCTCTTCCTCGTCTTCACACAGCTCCTCCAAGGGCAACAGCAACTCTCCTGAAGTCTGTGGGATCTCTTTTGAAAGATTTTGAAAATCTATTCCTGTAATTAACTACAGAATGAAGCGCTTAGCGGTAAGGATAAATTACCTGAAGCCTTCCTTGCAGCCATCCTAACAGTACTTCTTGTCCTGTGCACAGCAACAAGAACAGAGGTTCGCACACAAACCCTCTCCGAGAGGGTACTTCTGGATAATTATCACCAGACTTGATATTTGCAAACAATCCCAGGACACTGTTTCTCCGATTTATCTAATTTAGAAAGACTTCAACAATATTGCCGTTTTTCTTCCTGCAAATTCACAGAAGGCTTATAAACCCGCTGCCAAAGCAGAGGAACTGTTCAGCTGAACCCCAGCCCGACCAGGTGCAGAGAAACCCTACAACGTGGATTTATGCCGTGCCCACACACACCGGCGTGCTTCCCCACGGTCCCTGAAGCCACCAGTGCCAGAGGCTGAGCTCCCACGTTTATTTAAGAGAAAGGGGGAACAGGATCCGACAAGAAGCTGCTCCCTGTGGCACTCTGCCACACATTCAGGGGCTGGTGCTGTATCGGGGTTGGTTGAGGTCCTAGAGTTTCATAATCCGTGTGTGAACTTAGGAACACAACACAGTGTTTGCTCAGAGGGAGGAAAAGGAAGTAGGAAGCGACAAGGATGGGTAGCAAGCACATGAATGAGATGATGGGCATCGTCCCATTTCTTCTGTGCAGAGAAGGGCGAGAGGGACACCAAACAGCCGTAATCAAGAGCATTTAGCTTTCAAAGACAGTTTAGAAGAAAACCAGGGAAAACACAACGTACACAAAGCCACCTGTCCAGCTTTCACAAAGCTCCGATATCCCATTCCACTTATTGGGACTTTTTCATACAGAAAGGGAGGAAAGATACAATAACCCATTACTTTGGGGAAAGAAAAAAGAAAACCATGTGGAACAGCAACCTGAAGCTCCCTCCCACATGTAGCACATCTTCTGGCCTCAGGCACCTTAACAGGACACACACAGCTAACAGCACCTGCTCCTCGCCCCCTCCAAGCTGCCAGCCTGCCACTGGCCCCCCTTTTCGGAGGGCTGCCTTGTGAGATGTTCCTGACAGGGTTTGGCTCATCTTTACGGCATCTCTGCCCTGCTCAGCCGTGTGCTCAAAGGAGCCACGGGAAGCCTTTCGAGAGAGACAAGCGCTGCATTCACACTGATCTCAGAGAGTCTTTTGACAGCAGGAGAGCCGTCCGCAGTCTTCTCTGCCTTTCGGAAAAGAGAAGGCTACAGGGAAATTCCCAGTAGGACCACCTTCAGCCCTCACAGCCAGCTCAGACCCTCCCTCCTCCCCGCCTGGGAGAACCAGTGAAGGTGCTTAAACCAAATCAACTAAA